CATAGGCCAAATCAAGCGGGCACCCCGCGAATGATGATCAAGCGAGTCTCCATGACCAACGTCACAACCTCCCCGCTTTCCGGAAAGTACGTCAACGTCCCGGGGGTCATGATCGGTAGTCGAACCTTCCGTGATCGTTCCAACATCAAAAAGCCTGCTGCATTCGAAACCATGACGGCAGCCGGATCCAAGAGACGCAGTCTCTCGAAGAGAGAGCAACTCAAGAGGAGCAGACAGGAGGAAAGGAACGAACGTTTTGCTGTCGCCCCAAAGAGAGAGTCCCTAAGCCGCAGCGCGAAGAATACCACACAGGGACGATTTAAGGAAGAGCTATCTGATTACGACGACCTCTTCTCCTCGGACGAAGGATCTGCCATGTCTGGTCTCGGAAGCGACGAAGACGAAAGGCCGAAGAGAAGAACGGCGTCTTCGAGGGCTGCTGCTCCCAAGCGAAGTATCTTCGAGGAACCCGAGAACGAGGATGTGACGAGAGCACAGATCCGCGATGCTCTTACAGCTGAGACCGCTCGAAGACGCAACAACTTTCTCATCACTCACAAAGACACTTTTCAACCCTTGGTTGGAGACAGCAACTACCTCAAGAAGCTCGAGGCGGAGTACGGTAGCTCCGTCGAAGCTCCAATTCCATACGAACTTTTGGAAAGCCAGCCTAAAGAGTGAGTCCCCTTCCACACGCAATTCAACCTTCAATACTAACAACCTTCGCAGGATCCAAGCTGTCATGAAGCCTTACCAGATCGAGGGTCTCTCTTGGCTTCTCTGGTTGAACAAGAACGGTCTTTCCGGCATTCTTGGAGACGAGATGGGTCTCGGGAAGACCCTTCAAACTTTGTCCCTGTTCTCCTATATCTCGGCTCAATCCGCCAGCGAGATCGACAAATCGCATCCCCATCGACCTTTCCTCGTCGTCTGCCCATTGAGCGTTCTTACAAGCTGGGTCAACGAAGCGAAAAAGTTTGTACCACATCTACGAGCTATGCGATTGCACGGTCCGATCAAAGAACGTACTCGATTGAAGCGACTAGCCGAGAAAGGCCTGGAGAGCGGCAAAGACGGAAGCGAGAATCCAGTCCACCCCGAAAACCCGAAACGTGGCTGGGACATCATCGTTACCTCGTACGACACTTTCGTAGCCGAAAAGGTTTGGTTCAAGAGAGCCTTTATCTGGCGATATGTTGCCTGTAAGTTACCTCCTTCTCTCAACTACCATAGCTAGTAAGGTATCCCATCTAACGTCGAGTGAAATTATAGTGGACGAGGGCCATCAGATCAAGAATTCCGAGACATTGTCTTCGCAGTCGCTTCAATCCATCAAAGCTGAATACCGCTTGATCCTCACCGGCACCCCAATCCAAAACAATTTATTCGAGCTTTGGTCATTGGTTCACTGGCTGTACCCCGAAGTGTTTACCAACCGTACATGCGACGAATGGCGTCAAGCTTTTGATCTGACCCGCGGCAAAGTCGACACTACCTTTGTCGACAGTTCCCGTAACTTGTTGGAACTCATCATGAAGCGCCGTACAAAGCAATCCCCCGGTATCAGTCTCGGTATCCCAGACAAAGAAGAAGTTGTACTATATGTGCCGCTTTCACCCATGCAAAGAATGTGGTACACTATGATCCTTACGAAATTGGACAACTCCATGCTAGAGCGTCTGTTCAAGAACTCCAAGAGCAAGGAATCCGCCGATATCACTGCTGCCAAGGAAGAGGCCAAACGGCTCGATAACGTCGAAATAAGGGTCGACGGCGACGGCGAGGAGGTTACTATCAAGGCAGACAATGAGGAGTGGAATGAAGTTGAGGAAGCCGTGAAAAAAAGTATTGAGCAGGTCAAATCCGATCCCTCATGGCGTAAACTCATGAACATCCTCATCCAGCTCCGCAAAATCTGTAACCACCCATACCTCATCCCTACTGCGGAGCCGGACCCGTACTACCCTGGACAACACATTATTACTGCCTCTGGCAAGTTCATGGTTCTCGAAAAACTCATCACGCAGCTGGTTATCAAGCAGGACCGAAAAGTGTTGATCTTCTCCAACTTTACGAAAACTTTGGATATTTGTGAAGAGTTCTTGCCGCTTGTTGGTGGCGATGGATCCCAGTTCAAATACTTGCGATTGGATGGATCGACGGGCCGAGCGCGCAGAAATCTTAGTATCAGACTGTTCAATCAAGCCGAATCCCCATACAAAGTCTTCCTAATTTCGACCAAAGCCGGTGGTTTGGGCATCAACTTGACAAGTGCGACAGAGGTTGTTATGATCGATGCTAACTGGAACCCGCAAGCTGAGTATGTACCTAAAAACCCCGTAACGATTCTCATGATTATATACTGACATAAACCACACAGCCTGCAAGCAATGGCCCGATCCCACCGTATCGGCCAAACTAAGAAAGTCACCGTGTACAAACTTGTTACGCAAGGTACAGTCGAAGAACAGATGATCGGGCGTATTCAGAAGAAGTTGTATCTCTCTGCCAAGGTCACGGAATCCATGCGCGACATCCACGGCACCAAGAAACCCGCTGCTGGCGCCACTTCTCCAGCTGACGACGAAGAAGACGCACCAAAATTCACCATGAATCAGCTGATGACTCTCGTACGACGTGGCGCTCAAGCTATCGCACGACCTGAGATCGATCCAAAAGAAATGATGGAATGGGACTGGGACACCATGTTGGAGAAATGCAAGAATTACACGGTCATGGATCATGACGGGGACGATGATGAGATCGATGAAGCAACAAAGAAAGAACAAGAGGAAGAGTGGTTGAATAGTGCTGAGAAGGTGGAGACAAGACTCTTTGAAGGCAAGAAAATGGGCAGGGAGGAGATGGAAAAGCAGGCCAAAGCCACTGCAGAGGCGGAATTGGATAGAAGTGACAGACGGGCAGGAAAGAATCGAACTGTCATGGTTGACGGTTACGAGGTCTTGAAGGAGACACTTGGGAATAACCCATGGTTCGTATTTGACCCAATCATACAGCTGCTTTCGAACCCCTGCTAACCGAGTTTGCGTTGTTACACAGGGAAGCGGTGGCTACCCTGGCGGGCAAAGACCCCAGTTTGAAGAGCCCCCCGGGGCGGAAGAAGGCCAAGATCACCAACCAGGACTACTGTCAAGTCTGTACCGATGGCGGAGATATCATTTGCTGCTCTAGCTGTCCACGATCCTATCACTACGAGTGCCTCGATGAAGAGCACAAATATAAGAGTAATGGGAAGATGCAGTACCATTGCTCGCAGCACGAGTGCTACGATTGTGAACAGTACGTATACCCCAATTTCGGTCATTCTAAACTTTATACTCATACGATATGAACTCTTGTAGAAAAACATCCGACGCCGGCAACATGCTCTACCGCTGTCGCTTCTGCGAACGCGCTTACTGCGAGGATTGTCTCGACTTTGACATCGCGAACCTTATTGGGGATGAAATTTTGGAATTCCAACTTCTGGATTACCACGCTGTCCCGCAGGCCTTTTACGTCGAATGCCACAACTGCGTCGACAGCCGAAAGGATCCCGACTACAATGCCGCTTGTCTTAACATCATCAGGGAGGCCGAGGAAGAACGCGAGCGACGAGAGAAGGCCAAGAAGGAAGAACTTGCCGAGGCCAACAAGAAGAAGGCTGAGAAGATGGAGGTTGAGAGCATGACCGATGGAACTACGGTCGCCGGCGGAAGCAGTGGAATCATCACGCCTGCCGGAGAAGTTGATGGGGACAACAATGTCATCATAGTGGATGCCGATGATGTCGAGTCGACCGAAACTGCGGGCGGGAAGAAGAGAAAGGCGAAAGGGAAAGCGGCGGTTAAGAAGGAAAACGTCAAGGTTGCCAAGGGCAAGGGCGTTAGAAAGGGGAAGAAGGCGGATGCGATTGAGGTTGGAGGCGAGGCCGAGGAGGGCGAGGGGGAAGAAACGGCGACATCAACTATGAGCGCCAAGAAAGGCAAAAAGAAGGAGAACGGGGTTAAGACCCCTCGCGGCCCCATGCCCAAGGTCTCGGTCCCCAAAAAGGGCGGGGAGGGACCAAAGGTCAAGCAAACTGGCCTGGACGCCTTCTTCTCGAAGAAGCCGGCGATCGCTGCCGCCGCCGGGGTTAGAAGCAGCCCGAGGAAGAGGAAGGATGCGGGGGAGACGAGTGGTGCTTCTACCCCCATCAGGGCGGGGAGCGTGAGCGGCCGAAGCACCCCTAGCAGGGGTGCGAAGAGGGCCAACGAGGCGGAAGAGGAGGCGAAAGGGAGGAAGAAGGCGAAGGTTTAATTTTTTATAATTAAGCCGGAGCTGGAATCCTACCCGGAAGCCTCCTCCCGCCTCGTATTGTCCCCTTTGCCTTTCCTCTTTTTTTTTTTTACTACTACTATTATCATTACGCACACTTTTAATATTCTTTCTTTTTAATAATGAATTCGCTGGATTGGGATTAATACGATGGGACCGGTGTTCCGGTCACGACCAAAATGTGCACTTTTTTTTTCATTCTTTGTTTTTGTTTTTTAAAAATTATGTATTCTTACTCGGAGGAAATAGAGATAGACGATGGGAAATGGGAATAATAAAATGCTGCTTTTGGTTTTTTTATACTTGACGTTTTCGGTGGTGTGTGGTTGTCTCGGTGGTGTGGTGATTTTATGTGGTTTCGGGAGTGCTGGCGTAGGTTTCACACGATGTTTGTGGTCTTGCTTAGATCTCCGGGTATTTGTGTGTCGGGAGCTTGGCTATAACCATATATCTCCCGGAAGATCGACAGAGAGTAGGATGCAGTTCGGAGTTGAGGATTATATCCTTTATATACACCCGTCTTGAATTCCGTTTTACAGTCTATCATATTTTACCTTCCTCCTGGTGTTTTTACGTGATGGGTAATAACCACCGACCTTCCGCCGAACTCCCGAGTTGGTGTTGACTGATTTTGTTGATTGCGAGTTGTGCGTCAAGCGGGGGTTGGTTGGATATCCTGACCAGCGTCTGTGGTGTAACGGTTATCATTATTGCCTGTAAGTTCCAACTTATAACAAATACACCTCATACGACCCTGATTCTAACGATTCCCTGCTTAGTCCAAGCAATAGACCCGGGTTCGACTCCCGGCGGACGCATTCCGCCTTTCTTTTTTTCTATTTTTTTAATTTTTTGGAGGGTGGGGTTTATGAGGATGTTTGGGGTGGTGATTGGGCTTGTTTGGGGTCCCATTGTCTAGTTGATGGGTTACAAGTGCCTTTGTGGAATTTTGGTAACGCTTTTCTAGGGTCTGGGGTTAAATACATCGAATAGGTATAAGTGATATATTAATTTTCTTCAGCATGGTCTGTTCCTTTTTATCATGATGGGTTAAGAATCCTGCCATTGAACGCCGATGACCTCCTCGAATCGTTCCAGACATTCGCGCCCGATGTATGGTTCGAATATCAACCGTCTGCTCTCCCGCTCGATGGTGACGAAATCCACCAGCCGACATCCGCTTTCGGTCAGTTTCGTCAATACCGCTTGTGCGGCGTAGGAGTTCATGCCCGCATTACGGAGGAAGGTCTCCCACTATAACTAAATCAGCCGTTCCATTCGTACTTGTTTTTCTGTCTTTCTTCTTTGCAAAGAATGGGGCCTACGGGAGGGGGGTAAACGAACCGGCTCCTCCTTCTCCGAAATCTCAACCTCCAAAGCGAGTCCCCTCCACGTCGTGGAGTGGTAATTCATCACCCCAACGATCCATCTAGAAAGTTGGCGGATGCGATCGCTACCGTGCGCGGGGATGATGGTGATATCCACACCCCCCATACTTTCGCAGAACCCCGTGAACGCTGATAGAATAGCACAATCGGCCGCGCATAATTCTATCCCCATCCCCGGTGTTGTGCCGAAGTCCATACACACCCCCACCGCGAGGGTTTTATACCGTTGTGATAGCATCGATATTTTGGATCTTATTTCCTCGGATGGAAGGATGGTGGTTTCGGTCGGTAGGCGTCGTTTTCTGATTGTTTGGAAGTCGGTTAGGAGGATTCCCATCAGTGGGGAGACGGTGATGTCTGCTTCTGGAGTGGGTTCGGGGAGTTGTTTGTTTTGTGAGGGGGTGAAGTCTCGTTCTATGAATTTTGAGGTTGGGCAGAGGGATTGGATTGATTTGCAGAGGGTGCGGTTGGAGAAGAAAGAGGCTGAGATTATAAATTTTGAGGATGGGTCTGGTGGGGGTGGGGAGGTTGAGGTTGGTGGGTGGATTGTTGAGGGGCTGGTTTGTGAATTGGGGAGTGAGGAGGTGGGAGAGGGGGGTGCTGATGAGGAGGAGAGTAAAGTTTCGAGGGGGGGTTCGATAGGTATATTACGGTTTTGGAGGGATAGGAAGGATGAGAGGTTGCTGTGTGGGTCGAGGAGGGATATTGGGTATCTTCGATTGGAGGTGGGGTTTTGGATCCTTTTCCTTTCTATCAGGCTGTCGAGATCCATCTTTGGTTGGATTTTGGCGCACTCGAGGTCTTCGTCTTCTTGTGGGATATCCTCCCGGAAGCTGTCGCCTTCGTCTTCGATTATTGTTTCGAGAGGGAGCACGGGGAATACTTCTTCGATTCCCTTCCATAATTCCTCTTCGTTTTCCGGGAAGATCGTTTCTGTAAGCCCGGGTTGAGGGGTCTTGATACTACCGATCGTCCAGCATAGACCTGCTATGTCGAGGCTTTTTCTATACTCCCACCTCTTCATGATTCCCTCGTCGATAGCGTCTACCAAACTTTCTCCAGTGTCTCGACCAGAAATCCACGGGGGAGTTGGTCGTTGCCAGTTTAATACCGGCAGCTCGACACGTAATCCATCCCCCTCCGGTTCGAGCTTTGTCGAATCCTCAAGTTGCTCTTGTTGTAGTTGCATCAAAAAGAACTGCGCACCGGGTTCCATCACCCCGAAGGTGAACTGGGCCATTGCTGACTCTGTAAGTTCGTCTTGACTGTCGTCGTAGCCATCTTCTGAGGGGTCCAAAGACGGTGGGGGGATGAATTCTTCAACTAGATTTGGTAATGATACTGTCTTTGACGCCCCACAGGGGGGTATTGAAACGTGGTTATCGTTTTTGTTATCTAGAGTTAGAAATTGAACGTTGGGACTAGTGATCGGAGGCGTCAACGGTGCCTCGACGCGGAGTTCTTTTGCTGGGGATTTGATTGGAGATGAACTAATGGGAGGCGGCAACTGAATACGGTTCAGCAATTTACTGGCTTCGGAAACTTCATCGAGGGTTTCGTGCCTCAAGTGGGTATTGTCAAATTTGGGAACAGATACCAGGTTGGCCTCGGGTTCAAGGTTTAAAGGATCTAATTCTTCTCCCAATTCGCTCAGTGAGATCGATGGCATAGGGCACTGTGGTGCGGATAATGGAGATAGAGGCGGGGTTATCTCTCCTGGATCCACGAGTTCGAACTGATATCCATGTCAAGTGAGCAAACTGGTATTATAACCCCAAAGGACGGATCGAGGGTATCACACCTACATCTGGGGTATTATTATAGCTACTATCATCATGCTCATCCGCTGATATTTTATCATGATCGGGGTTCTTCACCGTCCTCCTCAGGTACTCCAAAACCTTCCTATCAATCGCCATCCTGTCACCCGCGAGATCAGCGACGACCTCATTCCGCCTTTCCCACGCCCAGTGCGGGAACTCCACCCCCTCATCATCATCCTCATCCACGACAGCCTCCTTCAACGACAATCGGTCCGAATCAACCCGCTGGACGATCCCATACAACGACGAATGCGCCTGATACCGCAACAACGGCTCTTCAAACCGGGCATCATCCACCGTTGCGTATTCCTCATCCCCAAAGTTTTCAGTATACCCCCGTAGCGATATTACCTTCGACAACAAGGAGCTAACGTCCCTAACGACCTCGAGACGCTCGTGGGTAGCTTCCTCGGTAACGGGTAGGCTCCGGAGAAAGCTGGAGATCAGTTCGGTGTCTTTGATCACCTCTTCCTCGATATCGTAGGGTAGACAGATGAACGAAAGCGGTGATATAGAGGTGTGGTCCTCGACTAAATCGTAGGCTCGGGCGTATAGTAACAGCGATTCGTCGTGCATCTTGGGAGATATACAAAGTTCAGAGTTGGTGATAAGCACAGCTGCTGGTCATCGGGATTGGTCCGTTAACTGTGCTAGGCGCCTTGGAGGTAAGAAGTCAGAGTCAAAACGACGTTTGGCGATGAGACGGGAGCATCGAGCCATATATATACTTAAGTGTTTACGAATAAGTTGCCGTGGGCGATGGTCAGTTGAAGAGCCTAGTGACGAGACAAGGCGATGGTGGAGATGGTAAATACACCAACACAGCCATCAGGACGAGGAACCTTCGGACGACTATAATAGCACACATGCTCTCGAGACTAGACGTGCTTATATAGAGAACACCGGCAGACGACTAAAATGGCCGGTCCAAGACCACGCTTCGCAAATTCGTCCAAAGGATTATGCATTGATGTCCCTGTTAATTACCCCAAAAGCTTCCAACAGAGCAAAACGCCGTTTTTATGTTGTGAAAAGTGATAATATACATTAAGCAGCATGCAGTCCAAGTCAAGTCCAACAGGAAAAAAAAGCCCCTCTTTGAGCAATAACAAAATGAAACGAGAGAGCCTGCAGACTAAACGAGCCCTCTAGCCACCAGTGAGTCGTCGTATAAGATCCTCGATGTCGATTCCACCGTCGGGATTAGCGGGATTGACGTTCTCTTTTTTGGGCTTCTCATCCTCAAGCTGGCTGCCACCGCATATTTTAAGTGTGGTTTGCAGGGGTAATCCCACAGGATGACGAAGGCCTCGGTAGACGGTCTGGGAATTACCCGAGACTTCCTTCAAAATGCTGGAGATTGGGGAGGGGGTCTGGGAACTGTTACAAGGGCTGTCAGTTGTCTTCAAGTCGGCAGAGTTCGTCCGTTGATTTATATCGCTAGATCGCTGTCTCTGGTGGGACCTGAGGGACTTGCTGGATTTCGAGTTGCCAGGTACGAATGAAAATGAACTTGGTGCAATATCGTTGACCCCGTCTCCAGAAAGATGCCAATGGTTCTACCACCCCCTCTGCTGGGAAACATTGCCGGTACCGCCTTGGGTTCCAGGTCCACCCCTACCACGGCCCATGTGGTTGTTGTTGTTCTGGGCTTGAAAGTTGCCGTATGCAGCGTTAGGGTTGTTAAAGCCGCGCTGTTGTTGCTGCTGTTGCTGCTGTTGTTGTTGCTGCTGCTGCTGTCTGTTTGCGTTTCATATGGTTTTGTTAGTTTTTCACGTTGGCTGACTGAAGGATAAAAAATGTGTATTTTAAGAACGATATTGAGCGTACAATCTCTGCTGCTGCTGCTGCATATACTTCTGCTGCTCGAAACGCTGTTGCTCTTCGGCATAGGAGTTGGTCATCTGAGGTTGGAACTGTCCCATCCCTTGGGGTCCGAAGCCGCCACCGCCACCACCACCACCGCCGCCGCCGCCCTGTCCACCGGAGTTGAACATCTGCATGTCCTGTCGATTTGGGGTGTTATTGCCACCGGCCCCGCCCATCATATCCATACCAAAATTCGGCATTCCAGGCATCCCGGGAATAGGTGGCATCCCAGGCATCCCAACTTGCTGCATCATGGCCGCGGCCATTTCGGGTGGAATACCGGGCGGAAGGGGCATTCCATTTGGAAAGCCTCCTGCTCCAGTGTTCGGCATGTTTGGTGTATTGCCGGTGCCGGCCCCACCAGTAGCACCTGTCATGTTCATTAACTGCGAAGGGTCGAGCATGTTCCCGAACATCATCATATCCTCCATCATCTTCTTTGGATCAAAATCCTTCCGTGTGTTTTCTTGTTTCTGGCAGTAAGCCGTCCATGTGAATTCGTCAAAGCCGTAGTTGAAATAGTCCGAGACGTCGGATCCCGGGTTCCTCCAGGGTTTGGACGGGAGCTCGTCAATGTTGAGAGAAGTCAGCTTTTCACCCGTAGAAGGATGAGTGGGGACAGCATTGATGTCGAGTGTCGAGGTTGCGATGGGTGGTGGAGTGGGCCCTCGTGGAGCGGGTGTTTTAGTAGATACAACTGCAGCCGTACGAGGTGCCGGGGAGACGGCTTGTGGAGCG